TGAGGCAGATTAAAAATTTCTGGCCTTACCACCCTCATTGGAGAAAAGATAGCCTATTTAATAAATGGTGTTGGAAAAACTGGATTTCAACCTGCCAAAGATTAAAACTAGACCCATACCTATCACCATGCACTAAACTAAGATAGAAGTGGATTAAAGGTCTAAATATTAAGACAGAAACACTAAACTTGCTGAAAGATAAGTTAGGTAGAACTCTTGATGACATTGACATAGGAAAAGACTTTATGAACAAATCTTCAGTAGCACAGGAGTTAGCACAAAGAATCAACAACTGGGATCTCATCGTATTAAAAAGCTTCTGCACTGCAAGAGAAACTACCAAAAGAGCTAAGAGACAACCTACAATGTGGGAAGAAATATTTAGCAGCTGTACCTCAGACAAAGGACTACTATCGAGAATATATAAAGAAGTGAAAAAAATCAGACCCCCCCAAATTCAAAGACCCAATTCAAAAATGGGCATCCGAAATGAACAGACATTTCTCAGACAAAGAAGTAGAAATATCAAATAAATACATAAAAAATGTTCAACATCACTGGTCATTCGAGAGATGCAGATGAAAACAACACTGAGATTCCACCTCACCCCACAAAGAATGGCTGCTATCATGAAATCAACTAATAAAAAATGCTGGCAGGGGTGGGAGAGAAAGGAACCCTTCTCCATTGTTGGTGGGAGTGCAGACTGGTGCAACCACTGTGGAAATCAGTATGGAGATACCTCAGAGAATTAGGACTAGAGGTCCCATTTAACCCAGCTATTCCTCTACTGGGAATCTTCTCCAAAGAATTAAAAGAATCATACCACAGCGATATATCTGCACCCATGTTCATAGTGGCACAGTTTGTAATAGCTAAAGCTTGGAAACAGCCCAAGTGCCCATCGACTGGAAACTGGATAAAGAAGATGTGGGGTTTTTTTATAAAATGGAGTACTACTCAGCCATAAAGAATGAGAAACTAGAGACATTTATAGCCAAATGGATATATATTAAGGGCATACTCTTAAGTGAAATAAATAGGACACAGTAAATATTGAATAGTTTCTCTAGTGTGAGAAATTGAAAGTGTAAAGAAGGATGAAAATGATTAAAATGAATAATGGATAATTTGAAATAGGAAAAGGTCCAAGGGTTTGGGGATGGTGAGAGGGGAAGGGGAAAGGGAAGAGAAAAGAAAAATTATGAGAAAGAAAAAAATGGAATCAAAGTCTTTGTAAATAGGGAAGGATGGAGGGGGTGAAGGGCGCACAGGTAATGGGAGAAAAAAATAAGAACTAAGATATATCATGTACCGGTTCAAGCACCCAACGATAAATGTAAATGTATTTTATACCTAAAATGTACCAATAAACATATATAAAATTTTAAAAATAAAAATAATTAAAAATTTCTGGCCTTACTTTTATGTCACCAGTAGCCACTAGGTACTTATAGATACCCAGTCCTTGACATAGAAGCTCTTTGCTCTTTTCTTTCATTAGTTTTTAATTTGTATGCTATTAGTAAAATGTTATAATAACAATGCATATGTACGTAAGTTACATATTATGAGCTGGTTACTGTTATGAATGCCTTACATATTTTACTCATCAAATCCTTACAACAACCCTGAATTATAGGTACTGTTTCTATATCAATGGGCAACTGAAGCAGAAAGTAGTTGAATAATTGTCTAAGATCACACAGCAAGTAATGACAAAGGCAGCTGGAAATCTAACAGACTCCCACCCCCCTTACCCACTATACTACACCACCTTCCACATAGCTGTTTAAATTTTCTTTTTGGCTGAAGTCCTGTGATTTGTGCTGCTTAGGACAGTCCTGTGTACTCATGAACACACCAACCCCAACTTCAGCTTTTGGATGTCTGATGTTTAATCACTAGAGCTAGTGCTCTGCCTTGACCTTTAGTCATTTTCACAGGAGCTTTAGCATCATGTCATACCACCCTTGGAAACTGAACATTGTACTATGGTCACTCTCCTTTAGAACCAGATTTAAACCAATTTATTTCCCCACCCAACATTTTGTCTGCTCTCTACACTTCCAATTCCCTCTGACTCATGTTGCTAATATGACAACAGGCCTTGCACCAAAGCCTGACAGGTGCAATCTACTATAGGAATATGTATGGTAAATAATCAGAATCATGGGATTGATTAAAAGGCCTTAGGAAACAGATGCAAATGGCAGTGAGTTCTGTCTCATTGTGTAGATTGTAGCTGATGATGCTACCGGTAGTCAGCTCCGGGTGAGTCAGCTCTACCTTCCACCCAACTAAGGGTAAAGTCGCCACAGACACAGCTGTTATTTGAAGTAACATGGTCCAAATAAATGAACTTCAGTGAAAAATAGGAAAAAAGTCATAACTCTCCTGTGCCACATTCTTTGGTGGAGAAAGAAGGACGGATACCAGCCTAATTTTAATTGATTCAAACTTTCTTCTCATTCAAAGTAAACTGAGATGTGAAATACTTTTCAGATTCTAATGCGGCCATAAATCAGCTGGGAATCTTGCTAAATTTCAGATTCGGATTCAGCTGAGGTAGGAAAAAGACCTGTGCACACAAAGACCTTGAAAAGACCATTCACAGAAAGAGTAAATTTAAAACAGAGAACAGTCAAATGAAAAAAAAGTTAATTGAATCAATTGATGTGATATATTTTTGCATATCAAATTAGAAAATATTTTTAGAATGATAAAATTCAGTGCTGATGAGATTGAAAGGAATCAGATACTCTCATATGTAGTTGGCAGTAGTAGTATAACTCGAACATGCTCACTCCTTTTGCTTAGTAATTTTATGCCTGGGAATCAAGTTAGAAGATTTTCTATACACGTAACATTATTCCAGAAGTCATGTGGCAAATGGAAAATAATTTAAAACTTCAAATTAAACCACTAAATCCACAAGCCCGCTGACATGCAAATCCATATACTCTTTTTTTTTTTTTTTTTTGGTACTGGGGATCAAACTTGGGACATTGCGCTTGCAAGGCAGGTGGCAGAACCACAAACCTATATACTCTTGATTTCCTGTTGTTACAGAGGAAGAAGAGGCCTAGCTCTTGGGTAAATAATCCCCTCAATTGATATGTATAAACTTTCAAGGACTTTGTTTTTGCAATTAATTCTTTTCTGTTTTGAGTCATTAATGTTTCATTTTTTACTGGATAAATTCTATCAGCAATTATGTTTAATGTCACTACTCATTACATGAAACTCTCCTGTGACTTTTATGTCTCAAGTTATGCAGAATTTTCCATCTATCTCCTCAGGAAAAACATTACACTTAAAAGGTGAATCACAAACTTACTTCTCTTACACTTTTATCATAAAATTGCTCTAATTGAAAAATTTCCCCTAACATTTAACTTTTATTAAAGTTTCCAATAATCTACATCTTGCCAAAGCTAATAATTTTCTGTTCTAATTAATAACTTCTCAACTATATTTGAGAGAATGACCACTCCTCCATTCTGGAAATGTTTTAAGATTTTGACATACAAAACTTACCTGATTCCTTCCTACCAGTAGCCACTAATCACCACTTTTCAGTTATCCTTTGCTTTCACTTCTCCAAAACCTTTAAATGTGGTAGGCTCACTGGTCTCTGTATTCATCCCATAATCTTCTTTTCTATAGTCTTTTATTAGGTGATTTTATCCAAGGCCATTGTCTCATATATCATCTACATTTTGTTGCCTCTGATATTTCTGTCTCCAGACAGGACCTCTCCATGAACCTCAATAATTATATGCTCAACTCTCTGCAGGACATCTATACTTGGATATCTAACAGATATAACAAAATTAACATGGCCAAAACATAGTTGTTGATTTTGTCCCCAAATTTTCAGACTCTGTACCTTCCAGAGCCTCGCATGTATAAATAAATAACGATTCTACACTTTCACAGTCCATCTTTGAATATTTTTACCTTCTACAGTGTATCTAAAACACATCTGAACACTTTTACTCCTGACGTAACCCTAATGTGATAATCCACTCCTGATGTTAGAGCCACTCTGAAGCATCTCCTCCTGTCTCTGTTACCAGTGACCTACGATATCTTCTGTGGGTTGCCAATAAGGTGGATATTGAATAATTTAACTACTATAAACATTGAACTAATTATCATTAGTGTGAGTTGATAGACTTTTGAAATGAGAAACTATTAAAAATTATAATTTTAAGAAAGGATTAGGCCCTTCCATGGTTTATTTCAAAACTCACTTTTCTGTATAATGGTATTATAACTCACTTTGGCTTTTCTCTGGAAGATAGCACATGACACACCACGTTATGCTTTAGATCTAGAATGTCCTCCCAAAGTCTCATGTGTTCAGGGGTGGGGCTTTTGGAAGATGCTTGGGTTGTGGGGATGCTGTATTCTGTGGAGGATTCATCCACTGGTGAGTCCAGCAGCCGAGGGTCACTGAGGGACACGACCTACAAGGGTGCATTTCCCTCCTTGGCTCCTCTCCTCTCTCTTCTTCCTGGCTGCATGATGTGAGCAGCTTTCCTCTGCTCGGGCCCTTCTACCATGCCGTTTCTGCCCTGGGACCAGCCAATTGTGGACTAAACTATAAGTCCAAATAAGCCTCTCCTCCTTTAAGTTGTGGATGCTGCATGTGTGTCTCAGGAATAAGAAAGTGACTAAGACACACCATCACTAAAATGATCAAAATTTTGCAAGCCTTACTGATTCCTTCTCCTTTTACTTAGCAGTCCTCAGTGTTACATACTATATCTGGAAGATGAAACACTGAAGTTTAGTGACTTTATTTTTTTGCTCAGTTAGTGTGATGAGATTCTATTTATTCATAGATTCACTTCTTCCCAAATCCAACCAATGGGTGAGTCAACAGGGAGGATTATTCCACAAGAATGCAACTAGTGCCAGTCATTAGGAGTATAACCCATCTGTCTGAGGCACTTTCAAGTTAGATCTCACTGCTGGTCTCAGGATATATGCTACCATTCCTTGTTTGCTTGGAAGTCACATTGGAAGTTCCTTGAGATGCAAGGCTTCACAAAAAGCCTTCGCAGAGCTCCTTTAACTTCCTGGTTCCTGAGACTATAGATCAGTGGATTCAGCATGGGGGTGACTACTGTGTAAAAGATGGCAACCTGGCGATCCTGGTCCAAGTTGTAGCTTGAGGATGGCCGGAGATACATGCGAATCACAGAGCCATACAGAAGCAACACAACTAGAATGTGGGAGCTACAGGTGGACAGAGCTTTGCTCAGGGCAGCAACTGAGTGCATGTGGGCTATGGCAATACCAATGCGGACATAGGAAGCCAAAATGAAGAAGAAGGGACTGACCACCACAGCTACACCTTCAGTGAATATTAGCATTTCATTGACCACTGGTCGAGTGCAGGAGAGCTGCAGTAGAGGAGTAATGTCACAGAAAAAATGGGTGACCAAGTTGTCACAGAAGGTTAAGCGACTAACCAACACACTGTAAAGAAGACTGTTAAGGCTGACGACCACCCAGGAGGTCAATGTTACACACAGACAAAGTCGCTTGCTGACAATGGCAGAGTACCTTAGGGGGTCACAGATGGCAACGTAGCGGTCATATGCCATGGTAGCTAGCAAGTGGCCTTCCATGCTGCCCACGGCCATAAAGAAGAACAGCTGGATTATGCAATGGTTATAGGAAATGGTTCGATTCACAGACAGTGTGTGCACCAGCATCTGAGGAACAGTGATGGTTGTCAGAAATATGTCAATGAAGGAAAGGTGGCTGAGAAGGAAATACATGGGAGTCTGAAGTTTGGAGTCTGAGTGGGCAACAATTACTAGTAGGGCATTGCCTGTAACTGCAACCAGGTACATGGCAAGGACAATTCCAAAAATAATTGGCTGTATCTCTGGCCTGCTGGACAAACCCAATAAAACAAATTCGGTCACTTGTGTCCTGTTTCTAGTAGCCATAAGATGTAGCCTCCATCACCTGCAAAGAAGGAGGATCAGAGTTGAAGTAGGAAGAGAAAGATGCCAAGGCTCAACCAGGTCTCAGAGTCTGTGCATGTAAGATGGACCATTAGAATGAGGGTCTGGTCCTAACTTTGGACATAAAAAAACTCAATATTGTTCTTTTGGTAGGGATGTTCCTGTTCTGGTAAGTCAACTAAATTAACCTGAGATCAGAAGTGCTAAATATAATCACTGCCTTTATTAGCAATTAAATTTCAAGGAATATAATCTGCCAGCAAATAGGATTCTTAAATCTTTTCAGCTCAGGTTCTTCCTATAGACAGATAAGAAGGCACACAAAAGAGATGACTTTTGATGCTGCTATAAAATAAACATGTTTTGATGAAAAACTATTTCCATATGAATGTGATTAAACAATTTTAGAATAGTGGAGCATTATGCACCAGAAGAATATAGAATATAAAGCAGAGATACCTTACCCTAAGCTTGTCCATCTCCCTATTTAGTTTTAGCTCTTCGGTGGTTTATACTTCCATGCCTCTAAATAATAAGCTACCTGCTTCTGCATCTATGTTCAGGTCTTATCAATTCAAGATATCTATTAGCCTTCTACTACAGAAGATGAAATTGTATGCTGATTATATTATTTCACTATTCTTTCCCTAACTTTTAATGATGATATTTATCAGTCAAGCACTGGTTTTCACCACTTTTTCTGTATATATTTAAGAAAATATCAAATAATGTGGTAGTGGATGGGAAAACTTTCTCAGTCTGCATGGCAAAAGTATTTTCATTGTATACTCATACCTGATAGTAGAAGATGTTAGTTCTTTGTTTCTTATTGAAGGTTGATAAGTCTGTTGCCAGTGTGACTCCTGTTCATTTTCTAGATTGCTTCCTGATAATTTTTGAGTATTTATTCCCTCATCCCTAAGTTTTATTAAGATGTTGATACATGTGGGGGGTTTTGTTTGTTTGTTTTTTTGGTTTTTGGTTTTTGTTTTGTTGGGGTTTTTTGGTACTGGGGATTGAACTCGGGTCTTGCGCTTGTGCAGCAGGCCCGAAACCACTGAGCTAAATTCCCGGCCCTACATGTGGGTTTTTTATGAATACTGTGATAAATTTAGGAGATCTTTTGAATCTGATGATGCATGTTCCTCTTCAGCCCTGAGAAATTCTCTTGCATACTTTCTTTAAATTTCTCCCTAGCATTTTTTACTGAAATTATTTTTCTGTTCCATGTTTATGTTTATTGAGCAGTGATAAAACCTGTGCAAACAAATATCTCAAATCAGTTATCACTTTAAAAAAGTGGTCTTCCACCTGGTCGCGCTGACACCAGCAGCCAGCTCCACCGCCACCACCTGAGATCCCTGGGTCTCGCAGACGCCACGCCCCTCCAGAGACCACACAGAGCAGAAGCCTCCGTCCGCATCTGAATCCACACAGCAGAGGCGCCAGGGGGAACATAAAGGCCTTGGTTATGGGCCCCAGAAGATAGAGCAGAAGTGAACGACAGAGAGGGCCTTTCTGACACTCCTGAATGAAAACTGAAGCCCACTGGGAAAGTGAAGAAAACTTCTTCAATAAAAGCACGCTGGACCAACGTGATTGGTAAGTTGGGGGGATCAGCACTTCCCGTAGAAACCCGTACTCGCTTAGCGGGGAGGACAGCTGGAACCTGCATTAGAACCTTGCAGGGTTTAATCCTGCAGGAGGTCAGGGACCTCAACTTGGACCTTGCATCCAGAAATCAGCCTAAATCTCAGTAGACTACAGCTGGCTTGCTGAGACTCATCGACTTAGACCCGCACACTGATGCCCACATCGCCTACCAGGACAGCAGAGACATATCCTGAGGGAGAACTTTTTTGATTTGTTTGTTTTGTTTTATATATATTTCCTTTTCTTTTCTTTTTTTTTCTCTCTCTATAACTTCTGGCTCTATATTTCTCTCCCTCTTTTTTCCTGTTCCTGTCCCATTCTGAAATTTTTTTCTCTCTGTCCTCTCAACTGTCACTTTTATAGGACGGTGAATACAATTTCTAGCTTCCCTATTGTTGTCAGTTTGTTCTGTACTCATCTCTGGTCTGTTGATCTGTCTTTTCCTCCTGTCTTCAAAAGATCCCCACAATTTGCATGACATTCAGGTGTCCTCTAGCCTCATTTCTAACATTTCCCTCCCCTCTATCTCTCTACCCCTCCATCCCCAACCCAAGCTAAATCTATATCCCACAGGGTAAATTTGCCGTATTGAAGGGTTTACTTACTACAACCAAAAAAGAGAACTGTAGGTCAATCTCCCTAATGAACATAGATGCAAAAATCCTCAACACAATAATGGCAAATAGAATACAGAGGGTCATCGAGAAGATCATACACCCTGACCAAGTTGGATTTATCCCAGGGATGCAAGGATGGTTCAAGATTCGTAAATCAATAAATGTAATACACTATATTAACAGAGTCAAGGACAAAAACCATATGATCTTCTCAACTGATGCAGAAAAAGCATTTGACAAAATCCAACACCCATTCATGATAAAAACTCTACAGAAAATTGGAATAGAAGGTGTTTATCTCAACCTGATTAAGTCTATCTATGAAAAACCAACAGCCAACATCATATCAAATGGTCAAAAACTGAAAACTTTCACTCTAAAATCAGGAACAAGACAAGGATGTCCACTATCACCACTCCTATTCAATTTAGTTCTGGAAACATTAGCCACATCAATTAGATAAAAGAAAGAAATATAAGTTAGAAAAGGAAGAAGTTAAATGGTCATTATTTGCTAAAAATATGATACTTTACATAGAAGACCCAAAAAACTCTGCCAAAAGACTTCTAGACTTAAATGAAAGATTCAGTAGAGTAGCTGGATACAAGGCCAACACTGAAAAAACAATAGCCTTCTTGTATGCAAATAAAAGACTCACTGAGAGAGAAATTAGGGAAACAATTCCCTTCATGACAGCATCCAAAAAAATGAAATATCTAGGAATCAATCTAACAAAGGAAGCAAAAGACCTCTATACTGAAAACTACAGCATTCTGAAAAAAATGGAAAGACATTCCTTGTTCATGGGTAGGAAGAACCAATAGAGTGAAAATGGCATACTTCCAAAACTGCTATCTAGATTTAATGCAATGCCAATTGAAATTCCAACAATATACTTCACAGAACAAGAGAAAATAATCAAAAATTCATTTGGAACCAGAAGAGACCTAGAATAGCAAAAGTAACTCTAGGCAACAGAGACATGGTAGGGGGTATCACAATCCCCAACTTGAAACTATACTACAAAGCTACTCTGATAAAAACAGCATGGTACTGGCAAAGAAACAGACCTGAGGATCAGTGGAATAGATTAGAAGATGCAGAAACAATGCCAAACACACTCAGCTACCTCATCTTTGACAAAGGAGCCAAGCATCCTCACTGGAAGAAAGATAGCCTGTTTAATAAATGGTGTTGAACAATTTGTAATAGCTAAAAGTTGGAAGCAGCCCAATTGCCCATCAACTGGAGACTGGATAAAGAAAATATGGGGTTTTTTATAAAATGGAGTACTACTCAGCCATAAAGAATGAGAAATTAGAGACATTTATAACTAAATGGATGCATATTGAGGCCATACTCTTAAGTGAAATAAATAGGACACACGTATAAATACCGAATAGTTTCTCTAGT